TAAATAATGTATATAGGGAAATTAAATCGATTAGCTTCAACATATTTGGTTTTTGGTTTCTGTTAGTAGGGTTTCTTTTACGTCTGAAAAATAGTGACTTTTAGATGAATGTTTAATATAAAAGGATGTTGTAGCTTATTTCTTAAAGTTTGATGTTTCTGCTCTTGTTAACTGGATGGAGTTTTTAACATCACGTTGTGAGCACATGGCTTAATTACTAGAAATATGATAGAAGATTAAGAAATGATTTGAATAACATGTTATAAAAACCTTGATTAGATTCTTGATTCATTATTGAATCAGCAGGTTACATAGCTCAATGCTGTAGATTTTGAACTTGTGTTTTTATTGAAGTAATAGAGATATAAGTACCATATATAAAAGAAATTCAGCATTTAAGTTAAATTTCTATTGAAGTAATATTTATTTGTGAAATTAGGCCTATCATTAGTGATGTGGAATATGTACAGGTTGTAAACTTGTAGTTAAAGAAATAAAATACTTTTGTTATCATTAAATGGGCTAAATTTTTTATTATTTTTTAGCAAATAATCCAAAATAAAGTGTCCAAAACAGAGATTGCTATAGCAATGTATTGACAAAACTGGACATCCTTTGCAGGACAGACAAAATGAAAACTTCAAGTGTAGTTAAAACTGAAAATAAGGCTACAGTACAACACTATGTTCTATAACATGGATCACCCTAAACTGACACCCACAATTTATCTTAAACCTTTCTCTAAATGTCACAATTTTTTAAACGGAAAATATAGAGAAGATTTACATGTATAAATGCTGGAACTTAAGATAAACAAATATAGAGAGTGGCCAGTTTCATTTACCAAAATAATTCATATACTTGTTACTTTTATTTACCTCAAGTATTCTCTTTGTTGGTACTAATGGTATTGTAGATGGCCATGTGTTTATGATATAAAACTACATTTAAAACTATATTGTTTTAAAAGTTTTCTTTGATCAGCAGTTTGCTCTAGCTATTAAGACATCAATTCAAGCTGTGTTGTAAAATTTTCTATTTGGAAGGTGTAAGCAGTTAGTTTATCTGGAGCTCACGTCATTTGTACTTGTAGAACAAATCTGTTTATCGTTTATTTTACTTGGTTCTTCACATAGGTTCACCAGAACCACCTAATGATTTTCACTTTAATAGTTTTAACAGGGAATATCTCACTTATAATGCCAGACTTTTACTTTTTTCCATTTAAGGGAGACTGTTGGATATGTATGGAGCTAATGGACTCATCTTTAGACAAATGTTATAAGTTTGTGTATGAGAAAATGAATCAGACAATCCCAGAGTTTATCTTAGGAAAAATTACTGTAGCAGTAAGTGTCAAGTTTCTGTCTTCATGTTACTGCATTGAATTTTATTTTTTTATAACTAATGTACATTTAGATATTGTCATCTCACAGAAAGGTTTTTTTATTATTTAAATTTTTCACTATACATTTAGTCCTTATTATGACCAAATATCTAAACAAAACTTTGTCACAGCAAGACTTCCAGTCAAGGATGAGTCTAATTTCCGGGGTTCTTATTCAAAGTTGACATTTTTTTATTCATATCTGTATGTCGTGTTTTTAACTCTACACTCATATGTAATTGCGATGTTCAGTGATATGTATATAATGGTTTTAAAAATGAAACTGAAATGTGATTTGTATTTAAATGTTTTTGTTTCTATACATTTTGGATTATGTCTGATTGTTTGATCCTTACATTGCTGTTCAAACTTGTGATTTTAGTATTGTGCTCACTACACTTCTAATCATTTTCTTTTGATCACTGTGACTATAAGACTGTTTGTTTCACCACCAAAGCAATGATGGTTTAACCATCACGTTGCTGATTTGACTAACACTTTGTTGACTACTTTTATAATCATTGATAGTAACAAACTTGCTACTGCTTGTGTTAATTTTAAACCTTTGTTAGTGCTTGTTTAACTATCATTTTCATTATTGATATGACCTTTTTAATATTATCTGAATTAACTGAATTTATTTTAAAAGAAAGATTGTAATAAGATAAACCAATGTATAACTAATATAGATTTCTTTATAAGACTGCTTAAACACATATGACTTGTTTGTCCTACATTGGTAAGTTGATAGAGGGTTGTTAGTTAGTATAATAATTAGTTCACACACACAACACATTATCTTTACTTCCTACATTTCTAACAATTGACTTTTGTTCATGAATTAAGTTACTTTATGTTAAGAAAAATCATACCAAGGAGTTATAGCTCTGTTTGGATAATGATATTGTTAGTGTAACTGTGTTGGGATAATGATGTAAGTGTAGCTGTGTTAGGATCATAATACTGTTAATATAGCTGT